AGGAAAAAATGAACAGGAAGATGATACTGAATGTTAACATTTTTAAAAATGGGTTATTCCAACAGGCACTATATTGTGCTTAATATTTATTAATTTTATCAATTAATGCATAGAATAGGTTAAACTGCTTATTAGTAATAATACACATATTCTAAAAAATCCTTTTTGCCAAGAATCTCATTTTAAAAACTCAGTTGTTTTGGGACTGGGGCTATAACTCAGTAGTAGAGCACTTGCTTAGTATATGTGAGGGCCTGTTTCAATCCCCAACACTAGGGAAAAGAACAGCAATAAAAGAAAAAAAAAACCCTGTTGTTTCAGAGAAGAAAAAGTCTTGTGATATTTCTGCACATAAAATAGTGATAAAAGTATGTTTTAAATAGCTACATATTTGTTAGTTGCAAGATAAAAATAAGTCAGTTGATTAGAACTGTCAAATATAAACCTACTTGCTTTCCTTTTTACCCTGAACCCATATGGATAAGTTTCCCAATTTCCTCTTTCACTTTGGCCTTGAGCTTGGATTTTTGCTTTCAGCAGAAGTCACAATTACTGACAATAACTGTGAGAACAGGATGCCAGTATCCTGTTGGTAGTTACCCAAACCAGATTATGTGTTCTAGTATTCCAGAGCAGTGTCCTCTTTTGATATCACTTCACCACTATAGTGGAAATAAACCAGCAGTCTATTCTGTTTTGTTTTGGCAATACTGGGGTTTGAACTCAGGCCTCATGCCTGGTAGCCTTGTGCTCTTACCACTTCAGCCACTCTCTAGCCCTAAACCAGTAGTCCAGACCATGTAGGTTTCATTCTGTTTTTAATCATTTAATCATTATAAGATGTCCATAGAATTTATTGGTCGAAATGTAGAGAATTTTTAAGAATGTAAACAGTAATTAAACTAATAATTATAGTAGGGCAGTAGGCAAACTAGACTCTTGTTGACAAACTAGGAAATGGGAATCATCCTAATTTTATGTCCAAATGTGCCTTTTAAAAGACAATGCATAGAAGAAATGTCCATATTTAGATACTCTAACATTTCAAATCTGTATCAATTTGTGAAACATAAATTTCACTTATTGAGAATCTGCTTATGTAATAAATTGTTAAGATGCTTGAAAAAACTTACCTGGTATGTTTTTTCCTCAGGATGATCGATTAAGAGAACCTCTGCAAAAACTGAAACTGGCTGTTAGCAATGTTATGCCTGAACAGCTATTTAAATACCAGGAAGACTGCCAGGCTCGTAGTCAAGCAAAGTGTGCCAAGTATGTACCTCTTTTTATGGACTGGCTTTGGCATTAGAGCAATACTTTCAGCTGTCAAGGGTTGGTCTTCAGTGGTCCTTATCCTCAAGTAGAAACCCACATATACCACTAAGCTAATGTCATTGAGTATCTTCTAAATGACATGTCACTTCCCACTCATTTGTTTTGGTTTAGTTAATAGATGTGATCTAAGCAAGAGCTGCAGCTAGTGTGTTGGTGCATGTCTGTAATACCAGCACTTGGGAGGCTAAGCCAGGAAAATTTAAGAGTTTGAGGCCAACCTGGACTAAATAGTGAGACCCTGTCTAAAAGCAAGAGCTAACACTGGTCAGACATTTCATATGTTGACCAACTTGACTATTTGGGGCTGGACACAAATATTTTCTGACCTAAAATATGAACATTTGTATCTTTATATTATAGTTTGAGGACTTTATTTATCAAGCTACCTCATCCCAAATTCAAAGTATTGTGAGGAAAGATAGGTTCCACATTTACTCTGTTTTAGCGTTTACTTAAGTAATTCACGTGTTTATAGAGCATTTTGTAGATAAGGTTGGGTTAAAACTTTTTTGTTTTTTAGGTTGCAAACAGATGAAGAACGAGAAAAAAATGGATCCGAGGAAGATGATGAGGAGAGACCAGGGAAACGTGTTATAGGACCAAGAAAGAAATTTCACTGGGATGACACTATTAGGTAAGATTTAGCCAGTCTTCGCCTTTCACCAAATACGTCATGCAGCAAAGGATCCGCGGCAAATACAATAATAGATTGGAAGCAACCAAAGATTAGCGTATAGGAAAGCTATATTCAAGAGAACATTCACCTGGTTCAAATATCCTTAAAGCATTAGCAGTTTTATTTTCATAATAGTGGAGTAAGTCATACTGGTTTCCTTGTGTAAGTCAACCATCTTTCTTACCAGTTTTTCTATACCCCACATAGAGAACTACCCCTTTTAGTGTTTTGAGGGGTCCTTACATAAAGGTGTCATGGAAAATTGCTCATGCTGGGTTACTATAGTGCAGTGAGTAATGAATGTCAGAAAGCATTTTCATGTCGTTGACTCACTTCTTCAACTAATAGTCTGTATTACTGCTGTCTTAAAAAAAAAGTCTCAGACCTAGTTTTCTACACTTTTGCAGCCAGGTTGATATCTAAATATATGTTTTTTATTTGTTAGAACTTTGTTATGTAACCTTGTTGAGATCAAGTTGGGATGTTATGAGTTAGAGCCAAATAAAAGCCAGTCTGCTGAGGATTATCTCAAATCCTTCATGGAAACAGAGGTGAAGCCATTGTGGCCTAAGGGCTGGATGCAGGCACGGTAAGAAATGTGACTTTCTGGATTATATTTTGTTTTCCTATTTTGCTGTTATTAAAGATAGACATGCACACACATATGAAATTGATTTTGCTAAGAACCTAGTATATTCAACATCCTATGCTTTAAAAACTTCAAGCATTTAAAAGATAAAGCAATTAATCATGGGGTCACAGAGATAAAGAGATAGGCATAGAGATTTGTTTTTTGGTTTTTTTATTACCTTTTCTTTTTTTTGTACCTGAATTTGCTAGTAGAGAAAAAGGGGGTGGGGAAGATGGCTATAAACTTTAGAAGAGTAAATGTGGGCAATATGTAGATAAGGAACTGAATATGGGATTTAAAGCATAGGGAAAAAGAAACAGACTTAGGTTCTATTAAAAATGGTCAATATAGAGGGATGTCTCAGAAATAAAGAGTAGACATGTTTAAAATCTCAAGAACTTTAAGTTAAAGAGTGTAAAAATTAATAAAGCCATCATAAATACTCCATCTTAAATCAACAGACGCCATCTTTTCTGTCAATGTGTTAAGAACTCTAAGTAAACAGAGGTGTTATAAAACACTTCCTAAAATTTACTATTGAGTGTATTGTGCCATTACAACTTTTACTTGATAAATAAATAAGTAACATCCTATTGAAAATCAAATGATTTAGAAAAGAGAGGAAAAAAAAAAAAAAAGTGAAGCCAGGTGTGGGGGTGCATGTCTGTAATCCCAGCACTCTGGAGGCTGAGGTAGGAGAATTACAAGGTCGAAGCCAGCTTGGGCTATCTGGCAAGACCCTGTCTCAAAAAAAAAAAAAAAAAAGAGTAAAGACATTATCATGTTTTTATTTGCTATTAAAAAAAATAATTGTGTCTTTCTGATTTTTCCAGAATGCTTTTTAAGGAAAGCCGGAGTGTACATAACCATCTTACTTCTGCTCCGTGAGTAAACACAGACTGCAGATTTCTTCATGTATTTTTAGTCAAACAAAAAGTATCATTTATTAAATGTTAGTGGAAATAGGGCTTAAAAATACCTCTAGGCAATCTCCTTTTTTTTTGTTTTTTTGTTTTTTTGAGACGGTCTCACTGTGTAGCCCATACTAGTCTAGAACTCAAGATCCTCCTACCACAGCCTCCTGAGTGCTGGGATTACAAGGATGCACCACCATCTTTTTTTAAAGATCATCATGAGGACTGGAGATGTGGCTCAAGTGGTAGAGCACTTGCTTAGCAAGAGCTTGGCCCTGAGTTCAAATCCCAGTACCACCACAATAAGAAATACTCATTTTGACTGTTACCTATTTGGAACGTAGTCCACATCTATTGGAATAATTCTGAGGCTACTCTTCAAAGCCTCCTGAGTATAGATTGTGCTGCATACTACCTGAGGTTCTGGCATAAGGGAGCTGTGCAGCCAAATGCTCGGGGAGTCTCCTTTGTTGCTGGGCCTTTTCATTGCTGTCCTGAGCTTCCCGGGACTCCCATGAGCATCCCTAACCTGCCTGGCCCTGCAGAGGGTTCCACATCATTCTGCATGGTTGATTAGCCTACTCTTAGTCTCCTTTACTCTGTTCAAAACTACATATTGACCTAGTGATTTCCTGTTCTGGGGGTGGAACTCAGGGCCTCGGATACACACCCACAGCCCAGTGAAATTGCTGTTAAACATCTTTGTCTGTGTTGCTGTTTTGGTGAATATTGGTCAGCTCCACAAGAATTTCATTTTTAATTACAACTTAAGGCTAATTCTCTGTAACCTATAGTACTAAAGAGTCATTAAGACAAAACTTACCGAGCACTGTAATTCAATATTCTGCTGAGATGCCTGATTATCATCTTTTGGGCAACACTACAAAATTCTTCCTTTTCCTTGGATGCAGTTATAATAGATGGAAATTTTTAGTGTTTAGGAAAGTTAGTGTATCAACAGGAGTCTAATTAAATTAGTTGTAGTTTTCAGTTCTTAATATTCTTGTATTGTTTGTTTCTGTTTCGTGTTTTGAGGTGTGGGTCTTATTTTGTTTCCAGGCTGGTCTCAGATTGCTTGCCTCAAGTGAGCCTTCTGCCTCAGCTTCCTGAGTACTAACTAGAACTATAGACTTCTAGCTCCTTTTTTTTTTTTTTTTAGTTCTAAAACCACATATATATTACAATTCAGGTATAAATGACTCAGTGCCTTTCATTCTAAAAGTGTTTACATTAGGTCCTCTCCCTCATCATTTTTGGAGTTTTTTGTTTGGGTTTTTTTTTTTTTTGACACAGGATCTCACCATGTTGCCTACACTGGCTTGGAACTCCTGAGCCTTCTTCCTCGGCCTTCTGAGTAGCTGGGACTACAGCTGTGTACCAGCATGGCCCGGTCCTTTCAGCTTTTTAAAAATAACTCCACTATGAATGGGCGTAGCGGTGCACACTTGTGATTCAGCTACTTAGGTGGAAGTTAGGGGGATAGAATTTCAAGGTCAGTCGAAGTAAAAGTTACCAAGACCCCTAATTTAAAAACAAAATAAAAAGCAAAGGACTAGGGTGTGGCTCAAGTGGCAGGTGCTTGCCTAATAAGCATGAGACCCTGAGTTCAATCTCCACGAGAAAAAAAACCTCCATTATTATTGCTAATTTTGTGTTTTGTTTTATTTTGCACTAGAAAGTAGGAATCTATATGATAGGTGATTGGAAAGGTCTTTTGTTCCAGTGATTTCAACAAAAAACTTAAAAAATTCTCATTGCCTTTTAAAAAAATGTTTTTCTTCCCTACCTTTTAAAAAATACTTGTTTTTTTAATTGTACAATAGGTTCCATTGTGATATTTCCACAGATGCATCTTAAGTATTTTGATCATATTCACCCCTTTGTTACTTTCTTACCTCACCCCTCCCTTTTTTTTTTTTACTATTTTTTTAAGTTTAAGAAGTCCTCCCCATCTTTTTTTTTTTTACTATTTTTAATGTCAGTTGTTTCATACATGTATATAATATACTTCAGTTATATTCACCTCCCATCACCCTCTCCTTTCACCCTCCAAAACACAGTCCCTCTTTTATATTCATGTCTTTATTTTTGTTTTGTTTTGACTTTTTTAGTCTAGATTCTGTGTATGAGCAAAAATGTGATATATGTCTTTCTGAATCTGGCTGATTTTGCTTAACATGATGTTCTCCACCTCTGTCCATTTACCTGCAAATGACATAATTTTGTTCTTCTTTATGGCCGAATACTCCATTATGGATATATACCATATTTTCCTTCCCCTACAGCTGATTTCATAGCTTAATTATTGTGAAGACTGCTGCAGTAAACATGGGTGCACAGGTATCTCTGTTGTATGCTGACTTACATTCTTTCAGATATGTGCCCAGGACCATATAACTGTTCTACTTTGAGTTTTTGAGGAACTTCCATATTGATTTCCATAGTGGCTCTACTGGTTTACATTCCCATAGTGGAGGATACCACCCTCACCAGTATTTGTTGTTGTGTTTTTTTCTTGATGATAGCCATTCTCAGTGGGGTGAGATGGAATCTCAGTGTCGTTTTGATTTGCATTTCCTTTATTTCTAAGAATGTTGAACATTTCTTCAGGTGTTCATTTGTACTTCCTTTGAGAACTGTCTGGTCATTTTATTTGCCTGTTTATTAATTAGATTATTTATTCTTTTTGTGTTCAATTTTTTTAAGCACTTTATATATTCTGAATGTTCATCCCTTGTCCAAGGACTAGCTGACAAAGATTTTTCTCTCGTTTTGTGGAGTGTCTCTTCAGTCTGACAGTTGTGTCTTTTAACTTCATGAAATCCCATTTGTCAGGTCCTGCTCTTATTTCCTCAGCTATTAGAGTCCTGCCTATACCTATGTCTTCAAATAGTAGTTGCAAATGTTCAGGTTTTACATTAAGGACTTTGATTCATTTTTGAAGTGATTTTTGTGCATGGTGAAAGATAGGAATTTAATTTTAGTCTTCTACATGTGAATATTCAGTTTTCCCAACTCCATTTGTTGAAGAAGCTGTCTTCTCCAAGTTATGTTTTTGCACCTTTATCAAACATCAGGTGGCTGTAATTGTGGGCTTATTTCTTGGTCCTCTATTCCATTCCATGGGTCTTCGTGTCTGTTTTTATGTTGTACCATGGGTGGGTTTTTTCTTTTTTGGCAGTACTGGGGTTTGAACTCAGGGCTTCATGCTTGCTAGGCAGACCCTGTACCACTTGGGCCACTCCACCAGCCATTTTTTGTGTTGAGTATTTTCAAGATAGAGTCTCTCTAACTATTTGCCCAGGCTGGCTTCAAACCACAAATAGCTATGATTACTGGTATGAACCACTAACTTCTGGCTACCATGTTGTTTTTGTTACTATGGTTTTGTAATATAATCTGACATCAGGTTTGTGATACACCAACCATTACTCTCACTATTACATTTATGAAGCTGTATATTGACAATTTTAATGAATGTATTTGTAATTTCAGTATATTTGTTATCTTTATTTTAGCATTTGGATGAGATGAGGTGTTTTAGCTTGTCGGCCCTTTATTCAACAAACATTTGCCTACTTTATTATGAGATCCATAAAATTTTTTTGAATCTTCAAACTTTTCTTACATTGGTTCCCAAAGGTTCTATAGTATTTTTCTTGCCTCCCCACCCCCTCTGTTTTGCTGTCATTCTCACTTTTTTTAATTTGGATTTGTTACATTTAAAAAATAATTTTCTATAAAACTTGACTTTTTTTTTTTTTGAAGCAAAGTGTCATTTATGCCTCTTTGTTGTGGTTCAATGTGAGCTTGGATTTCCTTGCCCTTCTTTTCCTCTAAATAATTGTAAATTCTTGTCAGTTCTTTGAAGTTAGGCAGCTTTATTTACCTGTTTTGAGTTATTTTATGTATTTACATTTTTTTTCTTTTTAAATTTATCATTACCTGGCTTGGTGGCTCATGCCTTGATCCTAGCTACTTGGGAAACAGAGATCAGAAGGATTGTGGTTCAAAGCCAGCCTGGGCAGATAGTTCATGAGACCTTCCCATCTCCAAAATAACCAGAGCAAAGTGTACTGGAGGTGTGGCTCAAGTGGCAGAGTGCCTGCTTTGCAAGCACAAAGCCCTGAAGTTAAAAACCCCAGTACCACCAAAAAAATTGCATCAGCATTTTATATTTTACTAATCATTTGGTCTTCTAGTTAATCTGAATTGGGGGACAATGTTGCTGAATATATCCATACACTGAGTACTTCCTGCAAAGAACTTCCCAAATAGTGGAAGGAATTATTGCCCACATATTTACAAGGTTATATGCTATAATTTCCTAGTAAGTGATATAACTGCTACTGAAATGGCCTCCATTTCAATCTTTTATTTTAGGGCAAAGAAAAAGGTGATTCCTGCACCCAAACCCAAAGTGAAGGTAAGAATCTACCAAATCGGTGGTTAGTTATAGTCAAAGTTGAAATGCATGTCAAAGGCAAAAAATATGCATAATGTTTAACTTAATTCTACTTAGAGGCCTGAAGATGTAGCTCAAATGGTAAAATGCCTGCTTTGCAAGTGCCTACTTTGCAAGCTCATAGCCCTGAATTCAAACCCCAGTCCTACCAAAAAAAAAAAAAAATTCTACTTAGAAATATTGGATAAAATATTACAAACGTCATTTAAAGACATAGCTAAGATTGGAAATATATAAGAGAAATTCCAAGGCCAAAAGCAAAGGAGGAACAGCCGGGTAATAATCTATTGCTGAACCTTGCTTGCCCTTGGAACTGTTATCTGTCACGTTGTGGTTTCTTTCTACTTTTCTTCTCAGAATATAGCAGATAGGCCTTTCATGGACCTGTACAGCTCAAAAATTGGAAAGAAATTTGCATGAAGATGGGCTCTCGAACAGTACCGTCTTTAGAAAAACAAAGAACTAGGAAAAAGTCACCCACCAGCAAAGAGATTAAGACCATTTTCTGACTGGTCTGTAACACAGGCTTATAATCCTGGTACTCAGAGCTGAGGCTAGGAATCCGATCAGAAGTTTGGGGCCAGCCTAGGATGCATAGCAAGGCCCTGTCTCAAAAAATCAAAAGAATTTTTTCTATCTTGGCCTGGATTCTAGATTAGAGAAAGAAAGTCCCTTCCGCCACCCCCAACCCCCCCTGAATATTTCTCCTGGTTTAGGAATTTAATTTACATTACCTGCCCAATCTGGAGAAAATCCCAAGATACTAGAGTAACTTAAAGTTACTGGGTTACTAGTGACACAAGGCAACTGGAAAAAGCAAATTTTTTATAGTATAATGTATGGTTCTAGGCTTACCACTTATAAAACATGTCCAACATGAGCCAGGGCTTAGGTAGAGCAAGCATTTGACATGCATGAGGCCCTGGTTCAATCCCATCACCACCAAAAAAACCAAAAAACCCCCAGTGAACATCAACAACAAAAAATCCACCTTATAGTCTGAAATACAGAATATATGGGGGAATACATTACTATGAGTGGGAGTTAACAGACACAGCGAACAACAAAGTCAGGTCCCTACGAAAAGCAAGTGGTGGATCTGGTGGAGTGGCTCAAGTGGTAGAATGCCTGCCTAGCAAGTATGAGGTCCTTAGTTCAAACCCTGCTATTGCCAACGGGGGGTTGGGGGGGAGACAAGTGGTGGATTTATTGATCTAGAACATAAAATTAGTTTTTTTAACACTTAAAGTAGAAAAGATAATAAAAATATACTTCTAAAATGGGCAGAATAGTTGTGTGGGATGACTCATGCCTATAATTCCAGCTACTTGGAAGGCTAAGGAAGGAGATCATAAGTTCAAGGTCAGCCTGGGCAATTTAGCAAGAGCCTGTCTTAAAACAAAAGATTTAAAAAAAAAAGGCTAGGTTTGTCCTCGATGGTAGAGTGCTTGCCTAGTATGTGCAAAGCCCTAGGCTTGCTACCCAGTACCACCACACAAAAAAAAAAAAGACCATGTAGCCAGGCACGGTGGCTCATGCTAGTAATCCCAGCACTCAGCTGAGACAGGAGGACTTCAAGTTTGAGGCCAGAGAGACCCTGGAATGATTCAAACAAGCAAAACAGTAACAGAAAAATAAAGTACATTTTAAAGAGAAATATAACCTCCAGAATTAAAAATGTAATTTTAATGAAAGCCAATGCACACTTTTTAGATTTCAGACTTTTCTCCATAGCCTTCATCTCTTTGAATGGATGGTCTTTTTTGCATGTAAGGTGAAGGGCAGAAGTCAGTGTTTATTGCTCTGTGACCTTTTCAGCTTTTGGTTCTAGAGCCTCTTTGAATATAAAGCAAATAGTCCTTTCTTTCCTAGTTACCTACTTTGCTTTCCAATGTGTATAATATCGAGCCACTTTTTCATTACCTCTCTATCTGGACTGGGGTTTGAATTTAGAGCCTTGCATTTGCTGGGCAGGCATTCTACCACACCCTCAGCCCTTTTTGCTATAGTTATTTTTCAAACAGGGTCTGCAGTTTTACCCAAGCCAGCATCAGATTGAAATCTTCCTTCCCATGCCTCCTTTGTGGCTGGGATTATAGAGGTACTCCGCCACTCCCAGGTTATTGGGTGAGATGAGCTTGGGCTGGCCTTAAACCGTGATTCTTCAGCTCTCTGCCTCCTTAGTAGCTCAGATTATAGCTATTCACTGCACCCAGCCACTCATTAAATCTCTTGTGTGGGCCCCACCATACTTTTTTTTGTTGTAAAGGTAATATAAGGAAGTGCTTGCAATAGAAAATGCAAATAACACAAAGTAGGAAGGAGGAAAGTAAAAGTATGTAAGAAATTTCTTCTCAGACTTAAAAACTCAACTCTTTGGTATACTTTTGTCCTCCCTTCTGGACCTCCCTCCCTCACTCCCTCCGTTACTCCAATCAGGCATTCATTAAATTAATAATAGGAATATTCTATATAAGTGGGTTAACCTTTTTTATAAATCAGTTATATATTCCTGAACAGCTTTCTCTGTCACTGTAAATCTAAACAGTATTTTATTGGGTAGATTTAGCATTGTTTTTATAAAGAAAAAATATTAATAAAGTTAGTTAAAATGGAAATTTTTACTAATAACACAATAGTATTCTGATATCTTCCCCCACTTCAGTTCTGGGCTCTTTATAATGATGGTGTTTTCACTAATCATGTAATTGGATGACATGTTAAAACAAACATGTGTCTCATAGACATTCCCCATTCTTTGTAGCAGACAGTTGTGACCCTAATACTTTTGCATCCTATACTTCTGATAGGCAGTGAGGTTTGCAGCTGGGGGTCTTTAGAAACAGAGCTTAGAAAAAATGCTAAGGTAGTTAGAGCATATCAGCATTCTTAACAGCTTACTTACTGTAATACCTTAGGAGGTGATGGTAAAGACCCTTCCTCTCCACTCTTTCCCCACTATGCTTAAGGTAAGTGCTGTGGCGGTATAAATCAGTATATAATATGTGACTGGGTCTTGGGTTTTTTTTAAGGAACTAATTGTAGAGACTTTAGATTTATGTAATCGCTTTTTCTTAATCTTAAAAATGAGTTAAATATTTATACTTCTGTTAACAAACAGTTGCATTTTAGTTTTTTAAATTATTTTCTTTTGCTCTTTAAATATTTTAAATTATATTCTAATTCTCTTATCTCTTCCTTAAATTTTAAGGAAGTTAAGTTTTTCAGAAAATAGATGATATTCTCTTATTCAGTTTTAATTCTAATTCCCTTGTTTTCTATGAGCCTTGCTCATAGTGGGCACCTTGTGCATACGTATTGAATAAATTATAAATGACTTCCACCATAATGAGTAGAAAATATGATTTGAAATTCTTAGAATGGCTGGTGGCTCACACCTGTAATCTTAGCTACTTGGGAGGCTGAGATTAGGAGGATCACAGTTCAATGCTAGCCTGGGCAAATGGTTCAAGAGACTCTATCTCCAAAATAACCAGAGGAAAATAGACTAGAGATGTAGCTCAAGTGGTAGAGTGCTACTTCATAAGCATGAAGCCCTGAGTTCAAAACCCAGTCCCACCTACACATGTGTGCATGCACGTGCATGTGTGTGTGCTTGGACTGATTCAAGCGCCAGTTTGGCATAGCAGTTTCCATGTATACTGGCTGTTGGTGGCACAGAACAGGGCCTTCAAGGTGGCAGAAGTGCAAGGAAGCAGAGAACCCAAGAGTCAGCCTTCCAGCAAACCTAATTGGACGAGAGCTGTACAGTCAATATAAAGGCAGAGTTTCTCCTGAGGCCCAGAAGAATAAAGTGCTAGACCAGATGGATTTGGAGTAGGATCTGAAGTTGTGATTAATGTCACTTCATGTGAGTGCTCCTTGGACTTCGTCTTCAGTCGTCATCTTAGAATAGTGTACTAGGTAGGGGGAAGCAGGGGATAAAGAGAATGGTAGAGGGGGTGAATTCAACTATGAGGTATTGTAAGAACTTTGGTAAATGTTACAATGCACCTCCAGTACAGCAGTAATACAATAATTTAAAAAAAGAATAGTGTACTAGGGTATGGCAAAACAGTATATCAGATACTTTACCTTGTGAGGACAGGTCAATTAGGAGCTCTGTCCTCAAAAATTATTTTGGTTTTGGCAGTCTCTCTAGATTTCCTGTAGAATAACAATTTTAGTCGTCATAAGAATTTCTTAGTCCTTTAAAAACTAAAATTGAAATTTTTTCATATATCATTTATTTTTTTCCAATATAAAAATGATACTTCTGCTAGGAGTGTAGTCCAAAAAAGGACCCAAAAGCTCCTGCATCCTTGGTGGCTTCAGTTGGTGGTCCTTCTGCAAGCTCCAGCACATCTGTCGTTGCCTCAGCCAGCTCCAGCTCCATAGCAGCCCGAGAAACCATCTGCCTTGACGACTCACTGGATGAAGACCTTTCTTTCCACTCACCTTCCCTGGATCTTGTCTCTGAAGCTTTAGCTGTCATCAACAATGGGAACAAGGGCCCTACAGTTGGTTCAAGGATAAGCATGTCAACTACAAAACCTCGTCCAGGACTGAGAGAAGAAAAATTAGCGAGTATCATGAGTAAGCTGCCACTGGCTACTCCCAAAAAACTAGATTCTACTCAGACTGCACATTCATCAAGTCTTATTGCTGGTCACACAGGGCCAGTACCAAAGAAACCCCAGGATTTAGCTCATACTGGCATTTCTTCAGGCCTTATTGCTGGTTCTTCAATTCAGAACCCTAAAGTTTCCTTAGAACCTTTGCCAGCCAGGCTACTTCAACAAGGACTGCAAAGGTCAAGCCAGATTCATGCTTCTTCCTCTTCACAGACTCATGTCTCCTCTTCTTCCCAAGCCCAGGTTGCTGCCTCCTCTCATGCTCTGGGAACATCAGAGACCCAAGATGCTTCTTCATTAACACAAGTAACAAAGGTGCACCAGCATTCAGCTGTCCAACAGAACTATGTGTCTCCATTACAAGCAACTATTAGTAAATCACAGACCAACCCGGTGGTGAAATTAAGTAATAACCCTCAACTTTCCTGTTCATCCCCACTACTTAAGAATTCAGATAAGCCACTTATGTACCGCCTCCCTTTATCCACCCCCTCACCTGGAAATGGTTCTCAGGGGTCCCACCCCCTGATTTCTAGGACAGCACCGAGCACCACTACCTCTAGTAACTATTTAGCCAAGGCTATGGTGTCACAAATCTCCACGCAGGGTTTCAAATCTCCCTTCTCAATGGCTGCATCCCCAAAACTTGCCGCATCTCCGAAACCTGCCACATCTCCCAAACCCTTACCCTCACCTAAGCCTTCTGCCTCACCCAAGCCCTCTCTGTCAGCTAAGCCTTCAGTATCAACTAAACTGATTTCTAAATCCAACCCAGCTCCCAAGCCTACTGTATGCCCAAGTTCTTCCAGTCCAAATGCACTAGTAGCCCAGAGTAGCCACTCCACCAGTAACAACCCAGTCCATAAACAACCCAGTGGAATGAACATCAGCAGACAGTCTCCCACCTTGAATTTATTGCCCTCCCATCGTACTTCAGGCCTTCCATCTACAAAAAATCTTCAGGCCCCTTCAAAGCTAGCAAACTCGTCATCCACTGGAACCGTTGGGAAGAATAGCTTGAGTGGAATTGCAATGAATGTACCTGCCAGCAGAGGTAGCAACCTTAACTCAAGCGGACCGAATAGGACTAGTCTATCTGGGGGCACAGGAAGTGGAACACAGGGTGCTACTAAATCGTTGTCTACTCCACATAGACCATCCTCTGCCTCAGGGTCTTCAGTGGTAACAGCCAGTGTGCAGGTATGTATGTTCTGAACATTCATGTGATAAGTTTAAGATTGTAGTCTTTCTTATGAGTCACTTTAATGAGCTTACATATAATATATGCAACTTATATGCTATATGTTTATAGTAGACTGATTACAGTTATGGCCATGGTATGTTCCTGATGGTGATATGACAGCAGTGGGCACACTTATGGATTAGGTTTTTATTGGGATATGGGTTTTTTTGGGGGGGTTTGTTGTTGTTCTTAAGCAGTTTCACATGTTGGGCTGGGTGTGGTGGTGTACCTACCACATGAGAGACTGAGGCTTGAGGATCTCAAGTTCAAAGCCAGCCTAGGCAACTTAGAATATGTCTCAAAGTAAAAAAAAAAAAAAAAAAAAAACAGAGGATGTTAGTAGCTCAGGGTTCAAGCACTTCCTACACATAAGAACTTGGATTCGATCCTCAGCACTGGAAAACAAAGAACAACAACAACAACAACAACAAAAGGCACGAACGCCAGTCATGATGGTGCATGACTGTAATTCCAGCACTCAGGAGGCTAAGGCAGGTGGATCCCAAGTTCCAGGCCAGCCTGAGCTACATAGTGAGACCCTATCTTGAGAAATAAAACAAACAACAACAACAAAGTCAAGAGCAAAGTAGTAACTTACAAATTTAACATATGTTCAAGAAACATATGTTCAAGAAACTTTTGCATGCCTGATCACTTCTTTCTGTGCTGTCACACTTGAGTATGAATAGACTTCTTGGGTCACTAACTCTTCCACTCCAAATACTGTAAATACTGCTCTACTGACCCATGCTTAGTTTTTAGGATTATAGAAAAGTCTGAGGCCATACTGAATTTTGTTCCCCTTTATTTCCTAGGTATTGTCTCTACCTAGATGCTATCAGAGTTTTCTTTTTCCTTGAAATTCAAGTGTCTGTAGACTATGACTGAGTTTATCTAGTTTTCATTCATTTTGTACCTAGAACATAGTAATGCCTTTTGACCTCAGATTTGGCTATTTCTTAAGCTCAGGAATATTTTATTTTATGTCTGATTATTGTTTCTGATTCACTTATCCTCATTGTTTTCTTTGTTTGAAACAAGGGTCTTTTCATGCAGCCCAGGCTTATCTAGTCTCCAGTGTGTAACACCATGCCCCGCCTTACTCGAGGCTTTTTGAGAACTCTTTATTATTCATATATTCTATGTTTATTGTTTTCATTTCTCTGCCTTGTTTGTATTCTGAGGCTTTCTCAGATGGTCCTTCACATTAGTGATTTGGCTTCATTAATCACTAGACAATTTTAAAGAAAATAAAAATCACCCTAATCCCAACCCTGTTTTTATGTGTAGGTACTTTTCAGATTGTTTTTAAGAAACTGTATCTTCCATAATGTTATATTTCATAAGCAGCTTTTTAAAGAATGTGACATTTTACAATATGCAAGTACTTAAGTTCCTAAATATTCTTTGAAAATGTGACTTTTATTGACTTAAAGAATTGTGTTGTCTAAGGAAGTGCTGTCTTAGACTTTGTACTGCCTCAAATATTTTTGTGGAATAGGAACATAAGATGAAAAGATTTTTCCCTTTGCTGTTTGTAGAGGTTCCTTTATATTCAGTATTCAGTACACATTTACTACCCAAGTAAGTCATCATTCTGCCACTTAAGAAGGCTTAAGAATGACATAGTTCCAGAATTCTAATATAGAACAAATTCAGTTAACTGGTACTTCACTACTTGAAATCTCAGATTAATCAGTGTTTATCTGTGTAATTTTACTTTTATCAGAAATAAGAAAATAAAGCCAGGCAGGTGGCCACACCTATAGTCCAGCTGCTCTGGAAGCTGATGTGGGAGAATCACTTGAGCCCAGGAGTTCAAGACAAGCCTGGGCAGACCAGGCTAGTGAGACCCGGTCTCACTATAAAAGAACAAATAAAATGGGATTCTGTGTTAAATTTTTAATTATAGGTGAGGTCTGGGAATTAATCTTCCTTACTATTTGTATTTACTAAAAGATTGACTCTGTTTTAAGTGAATCTTTAACTTGATCAAAGGAAAGTGGAAGGATTCTAAGAGAAAAGGCAGTTCCTACCCCATATCCCCTCCTTGGCATCAATACTTTAACTCTCTCAGCTTTTTCTGCCCAGTATTTTAAATAAGAATAATTAGTGGAAAACTCTTACTTTTATCAGTTTTAGTACTATGTTATGATTTGACTTTTCATTGTGAAAAATATGACTTACACTTTTCTTATAGCTGTCCTATTTTTCTGAAAGAGTAATCACAGTTTTTGGTTAAATCTATAATGGCATAAATATCTCTGTTGAGCTAGATACCATAACTGTAGTTTCATTTTGCTTATTTAAAATTTGGTGGGGGGGGGAGTGTCCTGAAGTTAGAAATTGCTTTTTTCTTTCTTTCTTTTTTCCTTCATTTTCTTTGAACTTAAGGGTAAATCTTTCTTTATGAGTTCTTTATTTTCCCAGACCTTCATGTATTTTACAATCATTTATCTCAAAAGAACCCATAACAAATAATTGGTTCACTGTCAGCAAGCTACGTGGCAAAATTTGTGTTTGTGATAAGTGACTTTCCCTCCTGGTTTTCTTCCTCTCCTAAGTGGCTTTATGATTTGGAAACCCAGTCTTCCTGCCTTCATATCTGATCTGCTTTTCTGTCTTACTGGTTTTACTGTATTGAATAAGGTCGTTTCTACCTTTTGTGAGCCTAACAGTGTTTTTATATGAGCATAGCATCTCATTGCAGTCTTATCAGCTACCATGTAGACTGTAGATCCTGTCTGTTGTACCCTAATGCTGACAGCAGATTTCTGTATTGAATAAGGTTGTTTCTACCTTTTGTGAGCCTAACTGTTTTTATATGAGCATAGCATCTCATTGCAGTCTTATCAGCTACCATGTAGACTGTAGATCCTGTCTGTTGTACCCTAATGCTGACAGCAGATTTCTGTATTGAATAAGGTTGTTTCTACCTTTTGTGAGCCTAACTGTTTTTATATGAGCATAGCATCTCATTGCAGTCTTATCAGCTACCATGTAGACTGTAGATCCTGTCTGTTGTACCCTAATGCTGACAGCAGATTTCCTACCTGTGCCTGTGAAGCATTAGCCTCCTGTCTGAAAGGCATCTGCAGCTCTCTTCATTTACAGAATGAAAATGACAGGTCATCTAAACAAAGACAGAAGTCAGAAGTCTTTTTGGGTTCAAGTTATTAACTCTACCTGCTTTCTATTTAATAACTTTCCACCTAGGGGTTTCCTCTTCTTTCTTGCTCCTCAGCTTACCGATTTTCTATGAATGCTGTCTTTGCCACTTTATAATTTCAAAACCCATTCATTCATCAAATAAATGTTTATTAAGTGTGTGCTATGTGCCAGGCCTTCTTCTAGGTGCTGGGAACAGCATATTCACTGTCTCTGGTCTCACGGAACAGGTATGAAGGTAAATTAAACACAAGTGTGAAAGAATGCAGTAAGTCGTGTGAACAAAATAAAGCAGGGTAAATAGAGGACTACGGAAGGCCTCTTGGAGGAAGTAATATTTGTGTTAAGGATCGAATAAACAGGAGCCAGCCACGTAGAGAGAAGAGGGAAAAATCGATTCAGGGGAGAGGAAATAGCAGGCACTGACATGAGAAAGTGCCTTAAATGAAAGCCTGCCTAGCCAAACAGTGGGAAGAGAACAGAACTGTATCCAGGAGGAACTGGTGGGCCACAATAAAGACTTTATTCTGTGTGCAGTAGGAAGCCATTGGTCTTAACAGGAGGGATGGTGTGGTCTGATTTACATTTGAAAAGATTACTCTGAGTGTTCGGGAGAATGGAGGACAGGTGCATTCACCAAAATTGAATGTGGTTTAACAAATTTAATGCCCAACATGGGAAGAGCAAGGTTTCCCTTCATATTTTCCCCTGAAAATGAAGTGTAGCAATCATGGAAAATGTTTTTGGTTTGGGGGCGCTATCCTGAACTGTTACTGCTTCCTATGACAGCTTATTCTCTGTGCTCCCAAATGTTCTCTGTCCACAGTGAAATTCTCCACTTCTGAAAGGTCTCTATCTTAGAATAGAGAAATTTATAAATGCCCTTGTAACATGTAAATTACCTGGCAGTTCAGTTTACATTTATAAACTATTAGATATGTAAATTCTTAGAAAGTATAAACTTTTTAAGTATATTAGAAACTCTTGCTTTTTTTTCTTTTTTTTTGTAGTGCTGGAGTTTAGCTCAAGGCCTACACCTTGAGCCACTCCACCACCAGCCCTTCTTTTTTGAAGGATTTTTTTCAAAATAGCATCTCGTGAACTATTTGCCCAGGCTGGCTTGGAACTGAGATCCTCCTGATCTCTGCCTCCTGAGTAGCTAGGATTACAGGCATTAGCCATTGGCGTCTGACATACTCTTACTAATTTTTAAATGGATGCAGGATCTTTTCTGTTCTGCTTGTTTTAAGACATGATTATTTCTAATTTGATAATGTTTTCCCAAATGTACTTACTTTGTGTGTACTACTTTGTTGGCATAGAGTAAAAGACTGGCAAATTAAAAAGTAAAAAATAAAAAGCTGTCAAATCCAAGCATAAAATGATTTTGTTCTTAAGTGTAAGAGAAGTTAAGGTTTAAAAAAAAAAAGAGGAACACGTTTGTTTACTATGAGTTCATCTTGTCCTTCATTTTATGAGGCCTGAGATCTGAGGTTGTAAGCCCCAGTAGTCACAGCAGAAGGTGGGGGTGTGGGGGTGCTGGTTGCAGAAGGTGATTCCAGTTTTAGACATGTCAGGTTTGTGAGTGTCTGATACCCACTCAAGGTTATTTACCAAACTTTGGATATATAAGGATTAAAGTTCGGCTAGCAGGCTAGAATTGTGGTTGTAAATATAAGTGATAACAATGGAGGGGAGGAAATTAGAGAGAGTGGGGAAACGGGAAGAGAAGGCTTCTGGAGGATGCTCTTCACTTTTTGTTTAGCAGTGCATGGGCATGTATGTAGGGGAATTACCTACATTTTTCTTGTGTCTTAAAAAAGCCATCAGACCTTTATTAATACAGTATTTGGGTAGAAATAATGTAAAATAAAATTAATCATAGCTAGAATTTATTGCTGATTAAAAAAAGATTTCAGTTTTCCTGACCAAAACTAAAAATATTTGAGCCGGGAAGTTTGGATTAGGTAAAAATAAGGCTACAAAAGAGAACGTACAATAGCAGAAACTGTAGTATTAATGTCTGGTACTGAGAAAATTTGATGGTATCAAATCTTTGTTGATAAATGCACATCAAAAAGAAAAAAAAGTCAAAATGGGAAAAAAATCACTTAATTACTGCGTAGAAAATTGTTGAAAGAATTAAATTAGCTTAAGGAGTATAATTTCCCAATGAAATCTCATCAATGTTAGCATACTTCTGATTTAAGTGCTTTTATTCATAAACAGGGCCTCAGACAGGCCCAGGTGGAGGAGAATGAAAATGCTCTCTAATTGACTTTTTACCTTAAGGAGTCTCATTTCCAAAACGTGGTGAAATGGAAACCAGTTTTCAGGGTTACGGAGACAGTAAACAATATGGAAAATGGAGGCTGTCATTCAGTAAGTTTGACAATAAAAGGAATACAAATATTATTAGGTTGTTTTAAGGAGCTGGGAAAGATCTAGAAATAACAGCATGGTTATTAAAAGAATAAGAGGTCTCTGTGCAATGGAAATGTGCAATACTAGCTGTCATTTAAGAAAGTTCTACTAGGTCGGATTTGTGGCATAGATCAGGTGGTCTGGGCTAGCTTTGGGAAGGGACAGGGAAGGATAAGGATAAGGAAGAGTAGCTCGATGGCCTCTTTAAGGTGTAGTGATGAAACTAAAGGCTGTAGAGTAGGTGCTGGAAAGAGTAAGTCCAGGAGTACTGGCTGCCGGTATTGTGCCAAAACCAGTTGTAACAAACAGGAAAATGAGTGTCTTTAGTCCCAGCTGAAATCACATGGAATTATTTCCTAGTGACTCAGGTCTGTGGGCTTGGAGAAACAGTGGAGAAGGAGAAATGTAAGTTTTGGAATTAAAGGATCAGGAAAGTAAAGAACACAAAAATTTCCAGATGTAACTTGTGGATTTTCAAAACAGTATTGCTAAGCTCTTTGTGTTTTTCACTTCAGTCTTAATTTCTGTCTCACAGTTTGTTAGAGCAGATAAAAGACACAGTCTTGTATCCATGGGGATCCTAAAGAAAATAAGTCAATTTAGGTGAAATACTTTATTCTTACCTATTTTGACCCCTGGTTTCTGCACAGTCCACAGCAGGAGCATCATTATTGGCTAATGCCTCACCTCTGACTCTCATGACATCACCTTTGTCTGTAACAAATCAAAATGTGACTCCTTTTGGGATGCTGGGTGGCCTTGTTCCAGTGACCATGCCCTTCCAGTTTCCCTTGGAGCTACTTGGCTTTGGAACGGACACAGCTGGAGTGACAAGCACCTCAGGATCTACCTCAGCCGCTTTCCACCACAGCCTAACTCAGAGTAAGTGGGGCCTTTTGTTACTTTGCCTGTTTATTACTCAAATTATTGGATCCTTTCACTTTTTTTTTTGGTGGTACTGGAGTTTGAAATTACGGCTTTGCACTGACTTTGATAGGTGCCAAAGTATATTTACAATTTTTTAAATGAGCTCATTTATGTCTTAACGAAATGTAGAAGAGGGAGTCAAAGTTTGGGGTGCTTTTGCATACACGTACATACATTTTATATGTAAAATTTTTTAAATGTTATATGCTCTAGTTTTTAGAAGATCCTTGAAATCAGTACTTGTGCTGGCAATAGATAAGTCATTTTTTGGTTTACTCTAAGGGGGTTCAAATCTTACTTTCAAGATCACTGACAAGTCTGTTTTCTTCTCAGATTTACTAAAGGGTTTACAGCCAGGAGCTCAGCACTCAGCAACACTTTCCCACTCACCTCTGCCCACACATTTACAGCAGACGTTTAATGGTAAGAAAGCACCTATTTCTTCTTCTCTTCGTGTTTATATATGTTTACAGAAACAGATTATACTTTTCGGAAAACAATGTGAATGGAATGACAAAGATAGGGAAAAAGAAGTTTTCATGTGGCTGGATCCTCACCAGCAACAAGCTCCTTTTAAGAGAAAATAAATGGATAAATGAGATCTGTTGTTAAACCATTTTGAAGGTTTCTGTTATATGAAAGTGATGGCTAAGAAAAGGATGCATAGATAGTTCAAAAGTCCTGTAATGTAATTATAATTTTTATTTATGGAAGTTTACTAAGTGCCATATAATCTTACCACTGATTATATGTATTAGCTAATTGAATCCTTATAGCAATACTATGAATGATAGGTAACAATCCCCATTTTACTGATCAGAATATTGAGTCAAGTAAGTGTTTGATCTGAGATTCAAACCCAGGAAGCATATACATATTAGTGATGGGGATTGAACCCAGGGCTTTGCACATATAATGCATGTGTTCTACCACTGTGCTACACTCACAGTCAGCCTATGTGGTGTTAGCCATTAAGCTTTTCTGTACCTAGCAGTGATTAAGTTAATATGGTCCAAATTATGCATTATGTACAGTATCCCAACTAGTCCTCTCTGAAATCTGATGTTGGATAGTATGGGCACATGTCAGCCTCCAGGTTCTTCCTTGCTTAGACCAGCACTTGATCTCAATGGACTTTTAATAAGCTGTTCTTTCTGAAGGCCATCTTCAGGATCTCTTGAGGAGAAATAACTGCTTAGCTACCCTCTTAACTTTGGAAACTGACTAGGACCTCACTATCCTTTCTGGCCATTGCATTGAGTGATCTTTGAATCAGTTCATTATTGACCACAAGGGTGCTGTGTAGCAGTAGACTGTCAGTAATTTTCTAAAAGACCTGTGCTAACCTGTCCCAGACTCATTGGTGTAAACCAGTTGTGCAAAATGGGCAGCATACCAGCAATCCTGATTTTCCTAAACTTAATGAGGCTTAAATGCATTATTGCTCTGTTCCTGAAGTAGCACGCCCTGAGTGTGGATAGCTGTTTAGTATCCTAAATCCAGCTGACGAGGACATGAGCTTATGGGGCAGATTACCATGAATGTGATCACCTGCAAGGAATTCAACAGGATTCTTGTGGCTCAAAAGATCTTAGTATTCCAGCTCTTGTGTGAATGGTCAATGCCATAATTCCAGAATAAGAAAGGAAATGTGACTCAGTGCTTTCTAAATAACTGAAGTTAAAAAATTAAATTTTTTTCATTTAAAAAATGAAATGAGCTGGGAGCATAACTTAAGTGGTAGAGCCCCAGCCTCTCACGTAGGAGGTCCTGAGTTCAAACCCCAGTACTACAAGAAAGGGAAAAAAAATTTAAAGAAAAGAAAATGTCCAGTTATTGTACTGTAGTAAGTTGTTCCTTTTCATCTATTTTACCAATCATGCCTCTTCCCATCTGTTTTCTCTCCCAGGCCTGGGTTGTCTTTGGGGCTTCATTTTCCTTACTATGTCTTCTGTTGGGGACTTTCTCTGTATTCTGTTGGCTGTCGTGGTCATTGGTTCCTACTCCTGTCCAGATACCACTTTTTTCTTTCTTCACCCAGCTTTCATAGGATTTAGCCAAGGTTTAACTGGGGTTCTATCATGGCAAAATAATAATAATAATTTTACTTATCAGAAGATAACATTGACCTTATCTCCCAAAGGAATCAGAAGGTGTGGGAGGGCCGTTGAAATGGGGCATCATGTCTTCTGATTCCTTTCTTATCCCCACAGCTGGCTGTGAGGTAAATAGTAAACATTTGCTGAAGTTGTTTTCATAGGGCTGAAAGCCAGCAGAAAGACAGTCATTTGAGATAAGAGGATCAGTCATTGGTTTTATCTCCTTTATGTTTAATCAACCTCTATAATACTATACAAATGTGAGATATTAAAGGTTATCTTTTTAGAGATGTCATTCACATAAAAATTAAAAGTTAATTTTAATTTTTTAATCTGTTTTTTTTTTAATAACACACCAAACCATACCAATATAACATCTCTTTTTCTCAGATGGAGGCCAAAGTAAAGGGGACACTAAGTTACCACGGAAATCTCAGTGACTTCCCGGCAAGCAGAGATGACGTATTTAGCTGACTGATGGGATCTACCTGACGGGAAAGTCCTCACGTGGTCTCGGGGCTGCTGTTTCTGTCGATGTTTACATTCTCGTCCCAAGCACTGTGGTGAGAGGAGGAAAAGGAAAAGAAATGTTACTTGAGCAAAGCAGGTGCAGGAGGAAGAAATGCTTTTGTGCAAAGTTAGTGACCTTTGGTCTTTTCTAATGAAAGATAAAGTTACCATGTTAACTGACTTGAAAGAGACTCAGCTGTCAAACCCACAGAAGTACAAATTTGATTTTTTTCCGGGGGAGGAAGAAAGAAGTTGAGAGGATTTGGGTAAATGTCATCCATCCTGGGGGTTGGATCTGAGCACTCTAGACATAATTGCATTAATAAAAGCAATTAGATCTGGAATTAGGCCAGTTTGTCAGAAGTTATCATATCTGTTTAAGTGGACAATGTAGCAAATTTGCTACAAAACAAAGAATGACCCCATGTCTGATACAGACAGTAGCTGAAGAAATACTGTACCCTCAAATATCCTGAGCAAACTTGAATCTTCTCCAGTATGTAGCAACTCCCGGTGTAAATCAGTGGACTAAAGATACTTCAGGAAAGTTATTTTAGCACAGTGATGTATATTACTAAATCATCTTGATTTTTAAGTCAAGAAATTGAGCCTGTTGCTCTTAACAGACAAAATTTAGATGTCCCCTTTTTGTAAAAGGGTCAAATTCATCTTTCATTCAGAAGCAGGTACTTAACTCTTCTTCAGGTGGTTTGTGCATCCAGTATTGACTGGTTAATTTTTATTTCTAGTCTTGATGCTAAAATGTGGCTCTGTTCACATTTTTCTCTGGAGAAAAGGGAGTCTTTGTTACAGGGCTGCTGCTTTGCTGCCTTCGCCCTTGCAGGCCTGCCAGCAAGAACCGACATCTTTCCCTGGTTCACCTCACGTCACACTGCTCTTTCTGTTCTGTCAGGTAGTGGTACTTCAGGTGATCATTAGCTATGGCGTAAACAGACAGAAGTGTGTGCTACATTTGTTTCTTCATTGGTCATCTAAATAGTATATATATAATTTTTTTAATTTTTAAGATGGTATTTTTAAAGGGAGGAATTATATCAAGATCATTATGTGTACAAGGGATTATCTTTTATAACAATCATAACATAGTTTTGTTCCTTGTATTGAGTGTAGTGAAATTGGAGCATTTGGAATCTTAAAGCTTTACTAATATTTACTCAGAGTATTGATATTTGAGTAAACCAGATAAGATTCCTTGGTTATAGATTCTGTATGCAAATATAGTCAACAAAGGATGTTAAGGGAAATGTTATAATTTTCATTGAATACATTTTATATTATTTTGCCTCATCATCATTCTTGTTTCTCTTGAAATTTAAACTTTTGATTATTTTCAAACTATACCCAAGGATGATGTTATAAGCTCTAAGTGGTGTAACTGTGGTCTATTTATGACAGACTAACCCCCAAAACAGCACTAGACTGGTTGTAGCAAGATTTTGTTCCTGTTTTCATTACATATAATCCTATGCTATTAAGTTTATTCAATTAAGAGAGTTAACTAGGCCTTCTTTTTTTTCCTTTAATAAGCAAAAGTCCCAAATATCTTACAGGACTATAAATAAATAACCACAGGTCTGTTCAGATCCATATGCCTGTATCTCGACTTCAAAGTCATATTGGCTTGCTTTGTAGCAAGCCATGTTCCAAGAACATGTTACAGTAAAGGGAAATGATTATTTCAAAGGAATCATTGAAGCTGGGTATGATGGTCCAGACCTGTAATCTCAGCACTCAGAAGGCTGAGGCAGGAGGATACCAAGTTCAAGGCCATGCTGGGCTACATAACTGAGTTCCAGACAAGCCTGGGCTACATAGCAAAACCCTGTCTGAAAAAAACTAAACAAACAAATAAAAAAAAACCCATCGACATAATGTCTTCATTCTAAGAATTTAATTTGCCAGTGAGATGAGTATGCTTATGTATGAACCCCAGTAAATATATTGGAAGAAACTGGGATGTTGGAAAGAGATTTGACTTGAATTTAGTACATTGATTAAGGCTCGTTTGTTTTTTAATTGGGGAAGCTTACACAACCATTGTAAGGGACCTCTTGCTTTTGCCTTTGCTAATTCTACCTGGGTTGGTGGTGGGAGTTTTCTTTTGGGAAGGTAGCTTTTGCTTTACTTCCTTAACAGGAGAGAAGTCAAAAGTGCATATTAATCCCTCTATCTACTGATAACTGTGCACATGTTTGTGTGTGTATATGTGTGCTTACATATATAGATATTCATATAAATCACTAGTATAAATCAAAAGAATAATAATTGTAATTTCTTAAATTCGTCAATTCTGAATTATGCTATATGAAGATCCCTGCTAACTCTGTCATCATTAGAAAAGAATAGGATTACTAATTCTCTCCCCATGTCATTTGATAAAAATTTTTCTTAAAGGCCCTTGGCTCTGAGACTAAGATATGGAGATTATATTCTATTCTCTTCAGTCTTGATTCCTTGAGTGAGGACTGCTGTCAGACCCCACCTCAATGATTCCTCTCCCCCCCCCATTTTCACTGATCAAGTTACAGCCATTTCAATCAAAAACCCTCTTTTTATGTTGTACAAATGGGTTAAAATCCTTGTCTTTCTCCATTGTTAAGGTATGATCAGAGAGTTTCTACATGTAAATACAAGCATTTCTTTTCTAGATCATAACATTGACAATGGTATCCATATTTTATGGCCATCTGTCTTTACAGCTTTTATTACTAAAACACAAACATAAGTTGGTTATTTTTTAACACAGAGACTTGACTCATACTGTATTTTTGCACTTAAAATCAAATTATGTTATTTTTTAAAATGGTGAGTAATTGGAAAGGATATTTGTAGTCTATTTCTAAAGAGCATTAGCAACATCCAAATGCAAAATTAATCAGCACACTTAATTACATCCCACTCAGCGGGAATCTTGATTCAGGAAGATGAAGCCGTTTGTTTCCAACTGTCTTATGTTTGAAATTGCCTTCTCTGATATATAAGCTGTTACTGTACATACAAGGTATTCCTCAGTATTCACAAGCAATAATGGTCAGTAGAGCTGTCCTCTGAGACAGCAGTGCTAGACCTCAGTTGGAGACTGTTTGGGAGCAAAGTGTCAAGCTCATTCAGAGCCTCCAAAGTAAATTCAAGCAATAATTTCCATTATAATTAAATTATAATTCTTTTTCATATGCTTCTGAGAACAGAGGGTAAGAAATCTTGATTTTAAAACAGACTGAAGAAAAGGTTTTGGGAGAAGAAGGTTAATTTGTAGTCAGAACATCTTGATACTTTGAGAAAATCAAGAAGATTGTATAACTACATTCCTTTATGCCCACCACCCCTTTGATGGATGTTGTTAGCCCAAATTCCATTGTTTTGTGTCATAAACACTGTGTAGGGTTTATTGAACCACCAAGGTAAGGGGAAGAACCCGGCACATACATGTTTTGAATACTGTGGGTTTGACATCTGTGTGAAAACAACTTATTGGAACTGGTTTTTAACCCAGGAAATTTTTTTCCCAAAGCAGTTCTAAATTGTTTACTACCCAGGGATGGAAAGGGCAGGCACCTCTAGTCTCTTCTCTGGTGGTCCTCTCCCACACCCCTTTCCACCTCTATGTGGTTCAAGACATTTTCTAAAATGAAAATTCTGCTGTTATTCAAACTGCCATTGATGATGGGAAACTGTCCCTTGGGATCATCTCTAGAGCTCCAGTTATCTGTATTTGCTGCTATGTTTGTAAAATGACCTTTGCCTGTATTGGTTGACTTTAATTTACAGTTCTTTATTTCTAGGAGTTTTTGTCATATAATTTCACCCATGTGTAGAATTAGGATACTTTATTTTAGTAGTGTACCATAAAAGCACACTGGTCCTTGTATTGTTTTTATCATTTAAGTTTTGAATTTGTTTGCTTTGCTTTGTGGTTTTCATTTTGTTTTGTTTTTCAAGTTGAAAATAGAAGAAAGAAAAATCTATAATCAGGCCAAACTTGAGAACTTTCCCTGCGCTTTAGCATCATAATTTCTGCTGGCCTAATGCTCTCATGGGGCACTTTTACTTTATTGTGCATGTATGGGTTTTGCTGTTGTGGGAGGCTTTGGCTTTGTGAAAATGGAGCAGAAGAAAAGTGCAGTAGTAGATGAATAATCACAAGCATGTTACACAATTTTATTCTATAAAAGTTTAAGGGAAAGTTTAACTCTTTGTAAATAATTTCTTAGCTTTGGTAAAATGATTATATTACTCCTCTAAAACATATTCAATTCAGGCCTTTGTCTTTGTTAAGTGCCTTTTTTTTCTTTCTTTTTTTCCTTCTTTTGAAACTGTTCTCAGACATCCTCAAGTACAGACTAATAAGTCAGGGGATTCAGAAGGAAGAATCTCAAACTTGCCAACGTCATATCATGCTGTAATACTCTTCTTTGTGCATCTATGGATATGTGTGTAAAATACATGCACATGTATAAAGCTAGTAGCTGCTGTACCACTGTATCCTTTCTAAACACTCCCCTCTCAACATTTGCAAAACTTCTGCCTTGTTTTTAGTTGACTAAAATGAGCAAATTGGGAAAGTCTTTTTACAATATGCTACCTTCCTCCTTTGAATATCTATAGAAGTTACAAATATATGTAGGTTGTAAAATAAATTTAGTAGACTCAGTGACCATCCCTGGATGTAACCTACTGCCTTGTGACCTTCAAACTTGGCAGAAAGTAAGATAGGAGAAAGCGTTGGAATAACAGGAGTATCTTTTGGGTTAAGTTGATAAAGGTGCACTGGGGCAGACAAGACTAAACATGCGTGGAGGGCTACTGGAGTCATGGGGTGGCATCTGAATACATTTAAGGAAGTCAGCAACTGTCAGCATTCAAAATGTATTTCCTTCTAGAAAATGATTTCTTAAGAAATCATGGAGCTGCATATCTGTTACAACATAATTAAACTTAAAAGTAGAAAGACTTAAGATACTGAGGAAAACACTCATATAATCTATAGCATACTTCAGAGATTTTCAGTTCTGTTTTTGTTTGCCAGATAATTACATTTGACTTGATCGAATTTTATGGTTGAGCAAGATAACACAATTTTAATTATCTAAAGATTCATCTGTTTTTTGTTGAAACAAATAGAAATGTGACATGTTAAGGGAGACTAAGTTGACCTAATACAAAAACAGTACAAATGTATCTACTAAGTGCCCCCTTTTAAGTAAAAATTTAATTGAGAAGACTAGTGGCTAAAAGGAGATAGCAGAGGCTCCTGGTAGCAAAACTGTGTCAGGCAACTGGTGTTCAGTAGTAAGTATTAATTCCTGAATTACTATGTCTAGGGGGAATATCATTTAACCTTTGTGCCTCACATTACCCATTAGTCAATTGGGTATAATAATATTCACCTACCTCCCAGGGATATCAGAGACTATACTATTTCAAAAATATTTTGAGTTTTTCTAAAATATCCTATATAATTAAAAATATTATCATCTTCTTGCAGAGGCTGAAAAATGTTTTCCTTGTGATGGATATAAAGAGCACCCTACAGTTTTTAAGTTTTAAGAAAATATCACTGGAATTCTAATTTAGATACATATTTGTTATTTAAACATACTATATTTGCAGTGGGATAAAATGGTTAGTTTCAGATTAACAAAGCAGGGGGCGGGGGGGGGAGAATGACACTAAGTTTCTCAACTATAAATAGATTTTTAAAAGCTTTTATGGTGTTACTACTTGTGTGTGAAGTTTGCAAAGGTTGTGGAACTGAGTTTAGATGAAGTTTGGGTGATTAGTCATTGGAGCTGATAAATTATCCTTAAAGTTTTATCTGCCTCCTTTTTCCATCTTCTCCATCTAACTTGCTTATATTACTTGATTGGTGATGAATGACTAAGTTTTAACTTGCTGAGAATGAGTGAGAGTCTTCTGATTCTTGGAAGTCAAACGCTGCAGGCTATTCCTGTAACTTAGGTGTGTCCAGCTCTTGGCTAAAGGGGCAGGCAGCACATACGGCAGCTGTGCACTATGAGCCTGTCTTCCTTTGTATTTCGTGCTTCTTCAGCTCATGTAGGAGGTGAAGCCCTCAGCTGCTCAGGATGTAGGAAAATAGGAGAGAGAGGCAGGATTCACTTCCTAGCTGAGGCAGGGGTGGGGATGGTCAGGGTAGAAGGAAGCATGGTTTTCCCAACTCCCTGGAGGAAATGAAGATCATTTTCTCCTTGTCCATCCCTGCATACTAAGCAGTAATACATAGAATTTCCCTTTTAGCACTTAAAACAACAGCAACAGGAAAAATGGATGCTGCATTTTTAGTTAGGCTAAAAGTTGGGGTATGGATGCGTGTAGGGGTGTGTATTTAAATTGTACCACCTATTCAGGATAAAAAAAAAACCTGCAGGGATCAGCAGTGATTTCCCGCTCACTGACTTGGGAGAAAGCACCAGGCCTAAGCAGTCAAAACATCTGGTTAATCCCAGAGTTCATCAAAACATCTGGGTTAATTCCAGAATTGGCTAAGACCCAGTTAATGTCTAGTAATATCATTGAGGGTGGGGGGAGGTTGAAAAATCACTTTTTGGATTTTTGTTGCTTTTTCCAGGAAGGGCCTTAGTTAATAGACTGTAAGTATCAACTATGCAGATAAACGTAGTCTTTATTTTCCATGTTTCCCTCTTTTTCCATTCTTCAAATGACAAATGTTAAGACATCTACCCAAAGAAATAAGACATAAGGGTTTTGTTGAATGTGTGTGTGTTCCTCGGGGGGGGATTTAACAGAAGCATAAAATATTTTGTGTGTTCATCTATCCTAAAATGTGAACTTTATATTAAAAAACTAACTAGATGTCTTTGCATAGCTATAGTTAGTGTCATGGAGTGTTGTGATAAAAAATCATCCCACTGTTGAATTCTAAGAAGTTTTAGGTTCTGTGACACAGTGTTCAGGTATATAGAACTGAACAAGTGGTCAGACTCTAATTTAAAATAGCTTTGAATATTAATGTTGAATTCTTTCTTCATTTCCCTTAGTTTTTATTCTTTCCTTTGGCTGGAGCTCAAAGTTAACCATGTCATCAACTGTTTGCTCCACTACAGTGTAAGTTGCATGTTAGGAACCCAGGGAGGGAAGGTTAAACTGTCTTCTTAACTCGCTTTGGCAATCTGTCCTGTGTTCCAGTCACACTCAGATGAAAAGCTTACAGTGCAAGAGACTGTTTATTTCCCAGCTGAGGGTGCAGGCTGAAACTCTCAGTTTAGTAAGAATGATATTAAATTATATTTTCCTCATATACTCTCAAAGCACCATTTGCTTGAAAGTAGCTATTTGTGATCTTTATTTAATTTCCTCGTATTGTAATATTTCTACTTGCGTCTGTCCTGTGTATTTCCATTTCATAGTGAGTTAGTATCTGAACTCTGGACACTTTTTCAGACTGTATCCCAGATAGGTCATGATTGCTTTTTGAAATGCTGATGGTGTAATTGTCTGTGCACCCAGAATTGGAGTTGATGATGACTGGGATTTTTTTCTCTTTTTCTTTTGTATTGAAAAATAGTTTTTAGCCGGTTGTGGTGGCACACGCCGGTAATCAACGAGGCGAAGAGGATGAGGGAGGAGGCCAGCCTGGGCTACACTAAAAAAAAAAAAAAAAAAAATAGTTTTTATAGGCTGGGTTGTAGCACAGTGATATAGCATTGCCTAGCATGTGGAAAGCCCTGAGTTTCATACCCAGCACTGCAAAAACAAAAACAAAACAAAACAAAATCATTTCCACATGATGTGGTACCACATTTCATGGCTTACTCCTAATGTTTTCAAGGTTATTCAGAAGAGATGCAGACCTTTGTTAGGAGCTCTTATTTCTCATAATAGTCTGCCTTGCTTGTTTTCGGACTTCCCCTAGAACAAACCTACTTTGCAAAGGTTTGAGTCAAGCAGGGCCATTGAGTCCTTAGTGTAAAGTTTATGTTCCCAGAGAAATCTATCCATTATTTGCTCCAGTTTTGCTATTAGCAATATAATTCTATTTCACCCAGTATGGCTTTTAGATATTTGATAATAGAGCACTAACAGAAATCCAATTGAAATACAAATAAGATGACTATTGCCCAAGATAACTTGGAAATACCCTGTTTTTTGAAGTTAACAGCTCCATCTATCCTCAAAGCATGTTTAGGAGTCAGTGGTAACCAAGACCAGCAAGGTAACATATCTGTCTTTGTGAAAATGTGTGCTTTAATTACCACATCTTAGCTATCTCATATTTTCTGTCCTTATAGCCATAAACTTTCTTCCTTTTTTTGCTTATCTCTGCTGCTTGCTATTAGAAAATTGTGTTTTCTGTCCCATACCTGCAAAATTACCAAGGATTTCCCCCCAATTTTGGCTAACAACATTGACAAACAAATTCTCAGTTGAGAAAAATGTCACTGTTATATAGTTAGTTGGAAAGTTGGCCAGCTTTGTCCAGCTGTTTTTAAGTCTTAGCTATGCGTACATAATGAATTATATATACCTTCGGACACCTTCTGATAACCAGGGGCCTTCTGCCAGTGTAGGTAGGTTGCCAGTCTACACATAATTTCCTCTGACTGTGGCTAACCTCCAGAGAAAAGATTCAACTTCGCACTGTCCTTTTGTTGACTGTCATTGAAAAATTATCTTCCTTTAGAAAGCATCAAAAATACCAGATTGTACTTTGAAGAGAACATGTATATCTGAGGTTTTCCATGTGTTTTGCTTGTTAAACACTGTCAAACTTAAGAGGAAATCTCTGGCTGGTGAAAATTTTGTGCCCAAGTAATGAATTAAATCTACCAAGGTGACCAGGCAATGAGCATTTGCTCTCTTTAGTCATGAGCGAGGCTTACTTGTGGTTGTGAAAGTCATTATGGAACTGCAGACCTAGTTGCTATGACTGATTGCAGATCATAACTCTGATTTGTAGTCTGGATAAGCATGTATCTCCAACCCTTACAGTATGAGTTTGAATGAGGGAAAGAGTTTCGTTTGGTAGCAGAAGGGAAAACAGAATTTATCTATACAGTAGTCATCCATTTTGCAGAGGCGCTTCCCTCCAGGTAAACACTCTCATCCCTTAGCCCCTTCCACACTTTAAACAGATGCTACCATGTTTCCAAACCAGTCCTGAAGGAAGGAACCTAAGGAGTTAATGGCCTTCTAGGTGAAAGGCATGGATTACTGTATTGCATCTGCTTGCAGGGAAGTGTGTTTCTGCTAACTTGAAGGGTTACTGTATTTCAAATAAGTGTGTGACTTAATATTTGGGGATTTTTTTTTCTTCTTTAAAAACTGGACCTGAACACAAGCTTTGAGTTGATATTTGTAATAATCTCAGGACCTGAAAGATTGTAGCATTTAGTGTGTCTTAAAAATTATGTACTGTACCAGCCATGGATTTTTGTAAATACACCTGTCTCCCTTTTTTGTATTATTTTAGTAAGAAAAAAAAATAATAATAAATTTAAATAAAAGGGGGTGGTGATGACATGAGAATGGGTGTGGGTATGTATGTGTGTGTGTTTGTATAAGGCTCTTCTGAGATGAACTGGTGCTTGTTTAATTTCTGGCTCAGCTCGGAGCAGGAATGTGGACAAGCTGCTGCTACTGACCCTGCACTGAGCTGTGGTATTTCCATTCTGTCTTTCCCAGTGGTAGATTAATGATGGCTCCCAGGAAATGACTTACCAGTTTCCTGCATCTTCCCACTGCCACCTGGCCTTTGCATCCTCAGTTCACATGCCCTTTGAACTTTAATGGTAAACTGTTGCAGACTTTGTAGGTCTCTAGTTTTTAGAGTTCTTATCACTCTTTCCTAAGAAAAAAGGACAGGTAAATTTTTTAGCCAAAAAGTTCACACATTTCATAAAACCTTGATTAATTTTGGTATATGAGAGAGCATAAACATTCCTGAGTAATGGATCTGTGAATTTAGTAAATTAATCCCATGGACATACTCTTTCAGTGCAGGGATTTTGATTTTGTTTTATTTTGCAACAGCCTTGCTCATATTCCAGGTGTAGCTGGCAAACCCCTGTTTTAAAGCAAGAGCCTTATTGGATTCAGTGTAGATGTTTCCTGTCGATCCTTTGTGACAGGATCTTTACATGAGTGTTTTTTTTTTTTGTATGTGCTATGTGTTTGGTGTATTAAATAAAGAGGAATGTACATATTATTCTTGTGTCTGTTGTGTTATTGGGTTCACACCATTCTTTCAACAATGGTTGTATCTGTTGTCTGTATTGCACTGTGCTGCACACTTTGGGGTACAGATGTAAAGGACACAGTCTTCACTTATTGTATTCACAAATTGCTTGCAATTATTTGACAAGTTAAAAGATAACTCAAGTTACACATGGTGGGCACACACCTGCAGTCTTAGCACTTGGGAGGCTGAGGCAGTTGGAGGCCAACCTGAGCTACATAATAAATCCCCATCTCAAAAAACAAAAAGGTGTGGTCTGTTATCACCTGACATTTGAGTTCAGAGTGTGTTGGGTGCTGCCGCCAGGGTCAGGACCTGAAACAGTTACCAGAAAACTAACCACCTATTCTAGTATGTCTTGTTTGTAAAGGATTTCTAGGAAAAGTGTTAAGCGAACAGAACAGAAAATTCATCCTTAGAAATTTAGAGAGGAAAAGACAAGAGATAGCAACTTGCTTTTCTGAGAAGTTGAGTAGTTTGCCATTTGTAAGCGTGGATGTATATATGCGTAAAAAACGTGAAAAAGGATGTACACCCCAAAATATGCAAAATGGTGGTTTGAGTGCTTTTTCTTTTTTACTTCTGTTTTAAGGGTATTTTCATTGTCTTGCTATGAAAATAAAAAGGGATAAGAATTTTTTTGAAAGTATAGAGTTGGGGGAAAAGAGGTCTGCCATGTACTTTGAGCTAACATTTTAGGATAGTTTGCAAGTGTATTCTTTTAAGTTATTGCTCCTAAAGATGTTTCCTGACACCCCCCAAAAAAATCCTTAGATACATTATTTGACTGCACTTTCATCATCTCATAAATGTATAATATTAATATTTTAAAGATGCCATTGCTAAACAAGGTGCTTTTTATTTTACGAAATAATGGGTTTCATTATGACATTTTCATACAGTTATATAATGTACTTCCAACATATTTACCCCATCATCCTCTCATCCCTTCCCCCCACTGGTCCCCTCCAGTTGTCTCCTTATATGTTTATGACTTTTTTTTGTTACTAGGTCTGGATTCTGCATGAGAAAACATGCAATATTTGTCTTTCTGAGTCTGACTTATTCACTTAACATGATCTCTTGTTTCATCTGTTTTCCTGCAAATGACACGATTTCATTTATAGTAGTTCTATTTTTACTTTTTTGAGGAATCTCCATCCTGATTTCCATAGTGACTGGACTAATTTACAGTCCCACCAACAGTGTATGAGGGTTCCTTCCCCTCTTCCCCCACAAACTCGCCAACATTAAACAGCATTTTTTTAAAGCCCACTATTGACTTAGCACAGTATCTTACACATGGCACTAAAATGTTGGCTTGATTATCACATATATACTAATTATACTCTTTAAAAGTAAAAAATGAAGGCTGGCAGTATGGCTCATGTGGCAGAGTGCCTGCCTACAAAATGTGAAGCTCTGAGTTCAAACCCCTTTATCGACAAAAGAAAAAAAAAAAAGGCCCAAGGAGTTAGGGGGTTTCATAAATGGGCTAACAGTTCAGGAAACCAAGAATGAGGCTAGGAATCCAGAAGGCAGTGTCATTTGGTGGAGAACAGAAAGACGTGGAAAGCAGGAAGCATGCCTTTCCCTTCCCAGGCAGGAGATCACAGCTCAGCCTTGCCACAGGAAAGTGTGGCTGGTTAAGGAAAGGCTGCAAGTGTTTCCTCGTGTGGAAGCTGGGCCCAAAAGTTAACATACATATAAATAGAGGAGACAAAGTCGCATCTTGTCTGAGGGGTCTGTGGGGGTGGGAGAAGGAAAGAAAATGTTAGAGAATGAAAAATATTGAGACCCATCTGTATATGAATATCATGCAATGCACTGAAAGGTATTGAATAATAGGGGAGCAAGAAATGGAGTTTATCTGATTAAAGCATGACATATACAAGTCTGAAATGCCAAAGTGAAATCCCCTTGGACTATACACTATACACTTGAAAAAAAACGGACAGGAGGATAAAACAGGTCTTTTCCGAGGGTGGGTACCAGTGGGGTAGGGGAGGGCATAAGGAAAGGGTGAATGTGGTGGGTGAGTTTTGTATTCATATATGAAAATAAAAGAATGAAATCTGTTGAAATTGGTTTAAGAAGGGGGTGGGGGGAGAGCAATGGAGGGGGTAAATCCAACTAAGATATATTGTAATCACATGTGTAAATACCACAAAGTATCCCCTTGCATATCTGTTTGTGCTAAGAGAAAAAAGAAAAGGCAGAGACAGCAGGAAGGAAACTAAAGTCTGAGTGGAGGCAGAAAGGAAGAGGACATTTTGTTTTGATTTATTAGAGAATAAAATTACCTGTAATGAAAGTAGCATAAAAGAAAAGGGTGCACGGAATGACTCCAGATGAAACTGGGCTGGTGGAGTGGCTCGAGTGATGGAGCCAGCTGCTTTGCAAACAGGAAGCCATGAGTTCAAACTCCAG